ATAGGGAAAGGCGACATACATATTGGCAACAAGGAACTAGTTTAACAACCATGGCGACGAAATGATTCCAATGCGACACTTTCCTTTGGTTGGTTAGTGAAAATTTGGGCACTTGAAGTAATCAAATCTCCTGATTTTATCTTGCGACTAGGCTAGATTTATTCTGATGGATGACCATAGCCTGTATAATGTTATTTGTTTGACGTGTGGTGAATCCCTTTTGGACTGGATTTTGCTTCTCGGATTGTAATTAGATTAGTTGAAGTATTACGGAAAAGTCCTGGTGGGCGGAATCCATTTCTGCCTAGCTTGTCGAAAAGTCGTCTAATAGGGACTAAAGTGTTCGGCTTTATTCATGTATTGTGTGGCAGAGAAGAATGCTCGTGAATTAAATTTTATGACGCGGGTGGCTGACTTACGTAGATTTGAGGACGAAGGAGGATTCAACACGTATTGAAGACAGGGCAAACGGTCATTTCAACCTGATAAAAGGTTTGTGATGGCGACAATACTGGTGAGAAGAAAGCTGTGTTTTGTATAATGTTAACTGTTCTTCTAGGTGTGCTATTCCGGTAGATTTCATGTTTTCGGTCACGTGACATCCATCGAACTTAAGTTTGTCTTAATCGAATTAATTGAAATCGGAAGGATAAAGTAATGATTTGTATCCTTATTCTAGGATTTCTCATTACTTTAGTGTGTTTTTCATTTACTGATTAGAAAAAAAATCATAACTCATGAAATAAATACAGACTAATTTCAATTTTTGTATGGATGCACAAACACGCATTAATCCGAATCTCAGCATAATCATACTATTTTATATCTTTATAATTAATCTAGGTACTTCCAAAGATTCACTAAAAATAAGCATACATAAACAAATGTCCAAAACTTAATAAAACAAAGTTTTATCGTCAAAATCGATAAGACGAAAAACCAAAGGATTTTTTTATGTAATATTTTTTTAATCCTTTTTAGAAGTTTTGGAATTTTAGTCAAAAAATCTTATTTTTCTGACATTAACGCGGGACCATAAATTAGTATGAGAAATTTGATCTTTTTCTTTTTTTTTTTTTTGCGATTACAGATTGATTTGGAAATTCCTGTAAAAATCAGATAATTGTCTGATTCAAATGAAACTTTCAGAACTGATTCACAAATGAATTAAATTATTTTAGAAATGTTTCCTTTTTAGAAAATCGCTGTAATTTTTTTTTTACCATCTGTTATCCCTCACATTTAATTTTATAGAATTTCGCGAATTTTTTTTTGTAAGCGCCTAAAGTTTATAAGTACAAATCCTCGGAGAATTTAAATATTTTTGGTCAAACGGAACCTATAGTTAGAGAAAGTCTGCTCAGCATTGTAAAATAAAAATGAAATAAAACTAAGACATAATTTAATTAGAAATGGTTTTAATTGCTATTAATTGCTTTTATGAAAAAAAAAATATTATGGACACTATTGTCTTAAAAGAAATTCCAATGAATAATGTATTCTTACAATAACTGTTTTCATTCTTTTATAATTTTAATTAGAATAATTTATAAACTTTTAAATTTTTAAATTCTGTATTAATTTGTATCGGTGATGTAGCATTATTGAATAAAAACTATATTTACTAATCATAAATGGAAAAGCTTACAAGAATTCAGCGAAGCTCAATATTTTAAAAATATTGAATTTTTTGTGTGTGTATAAACGTGGCGATTTTTGTAAATACGGATGTCCATACACGATATTCTCAGAAAATAAGAGTGGTAGCAATAGTAAATTTAACATTTATTGATAATTTTCTAACATCTTTGTCAACACGCGTCTTTGTAAGTAAGTCTATAAGCTAGAGTACTAAAATTTAATAAGACATTTTAAATTCTTAAAATATTTTAAATTTTAAGAGTAGTTAAAAATATCTGAAAAAGTCGTTGACGTTGTATTCGTCAAGTAATTTTGCTATAAGTATTCCCTCTTAACACAAATCTCACAAATATCAACTTATCGATATGTGAAGACCTCATAAAAACACCGACATACTTGTTAAAAATGCTTTCCTTTTATATATAAGTAACATTTGTTTTAATTCAGAATAATTAACTTTAAATCAGTTAATCTTTCTCAAATAAAATTTCAGTAAAGTACATATTATTTATTTAAAATTTTTAATGAAGAGAATGATGTGTTGACAGATTTGTCAATATGGCTGATGGTAGCGATTTAAAAAAAAAGTAATTCCAATCAATTGGAAGTCGGTTTAAAATACAACTAAGTATTTAGTGTAATGGAAATATTAAATTTAATTTTAGAATTCAATTTAAAATAATAGAAATAGTTTTGTTGTGGTAGGATCCACCTAATTTGCATAGTGGAGTACCGACCATATAAATATGGTTGGTACCGGGAAGAGAGGGAGGAATCAAGAGATTCAACCAGAGACTCTGCCCGACTGCGACTCATTCAACACATTCTTCAGGAACGGTCTTACCAGGAATATACAAAAGACTATATGTAAATATTGTGTACACTTTCTTGTTTCAATACATTTTGTTCTAAGTACATTTTGTGTTGCATTATTATTCCATGCATTAGTCAAGTTTCAACATGTTTCAAGAAAGATTTTTCTCTTTTTAAATGCATTTTAAACCTTAGGTGTGGCTTTTAGGGTGGTGTATATATATATATATATATATATATATATATATATACACACACACATATCTATATATATTTATAGGGTGGTGTATATATATATATATATAGGGTGACTTTTTAACAATCCAATAAAACCAAGAGTGATGGAAGAAAAATATTTTATTCATAGTAATTGAAACCTTAAAACATGCCATTTAAGAAACAATGATGGAATTTTCATTTTTTTTAAAAATTACGTCCTGTAGATGGAGTCCTCCTGTACCAATGCATTCTTGAAATCTGCTGTTGAGATTCCTCATTGACTGCTGCAACATCTCAGCTGGGATACTGTGAATTTCATCTTGAATTCTAAATCGCGAAATGTTTACTTTTTCAAGGTTTCGGCCGTCAGGTCTCTTTAGGTGTCGGCAATTAGTGTTCGCAATACCCACCATACTACCATTATTCAGCAGTGCACCGGAATTGTCTAGCTATTGTAGGACTAGTACCTAACACCATCCGGGTACAGTCGCGTCTATGGTCTGAATAGTTTAAACTGAGGAACAATCTAGCAAAGCTAGATCAACCCTTCTGATTAACATTCTGTTCAGGTAGCTGGCTACCCGGCGAGACGGCTATTTATGTTCCCAGGTCCACATCTCCCGTCCCGGATGATCGATCCGGTATCTATCGCCGAGCCCAAACTCGCCGATCAGATCAATCAGGCTACAATCACCCGATTACATCGCGCTAGATCTTCGCCCCCTGTCTACTTGGGGTCCAGGTCGGCATTTCTGTACCCCTTTAAGACTAAACGCGACGAATCGACCAAGAACGGCCCTAATCGACGGAAAAAGTCGACAATCTCCATCTGGTCGTTGGGCACAAAAACCGCAACGATTCGAGACGAACAACAGCACACGAAAATATTGGCCAACATCAATCACACCGACCTCTCGCGTCGACATGGACAAGGTCCACCTCACACCTAGACAGCACACGGCCATCAAACTAATGTCTTTAATAAATAAATTGTCGGACTTTGTCCATTTTTAATATATATATATATATATATATATATATATATATATATATATATATATATATATATATATATATTTATATATATATATATATATTTATATATATATATATATTATTTTATATATATATATATATGTATATATATATTATTTATATACGGGAAGTACGGTGGAGTAATGAACAGCGGCTTGGACTGAGAAATTCAAGTCGAATCCATTACATTCACTTACCTGCTAATACCCTTGGGAAAGGTGTGAATCCTCTTCTCCCTCCACCTATGGGTAAATAGCAGGACAGGCTGGGTTCTATAGCCTTGGATGGCAACTGGTCTAGAGAAGGACAACTCTGAATTCAAAACCTGCCGAGGGTCGTTTGGGGGATTTGTGGCACGTAGTGCACCAGGTCTCTGTATTCGGCCCTTCAAAACGCGTAGATGGTCCTGCACGAAACCTTCACCACTATAATCAAATCTCATGTGCTGTCATGTTCAGTTTGACATTCCAACCACCTGAAGAAGACCAGAGCGTACAACGGCCGAAATGTTGTAATAAATATGGTGACAAAGATGAGAACAATAGTCCGCATAATGTATATAGTGTACATAATACCTCATCTCAGAAATATAGAGAAATATAGACAGATGCGAGAACAATATTCTGCATGCAAATAAAAAACTTGATAACCACCATTTGAAATGTAAATGCCTGGAGATTTGCTGAGCATCGGTTCTACACGAACATTTACGCACAAGCCAGCAACATCATACATTGATTTTCATACATTAAAACCACTTTTAAAATCCAATATAGAAAGTTACTTAGGAAATATTGATGAAAATTAGGTTTGATTTCCAAATGAAAATATGAGAAGTGATAAATAAGAAGACATTTAATTAGATAATCTATTTTGTCTTTGTTCATGAAATGAATTCGTCTTCTTTCATCCTAATATTCTCGCAAGAACACATTTCTATCATTAATTTTCATTTCTAATATTTGAAATGAAAGTAAAGCAAAATAAAGTCCAATGAAAGGAATCTGATTTCTAGTTAATCTCCAAAGAAATGTCTTTAAATTTATTTAAATGTGTGACAACATTTTCAACTTTAAATTATAGAAGAGGACGCATTTTTTCATCTGTCAAAAACTGTTAAGTGTGCATCAATGCAATTTCAAGATGAGACGAAAGCCTAGCCAATATGGCGGCGGTGCCCTCCATTAATTGAGAAAACTTCGATTTCCTTTCTTCGGTAATGATATTATGATAATGAGCATTCAGCAATCTTGACGAATGGGCACGACTCCAATCACACTTTGTTACTGTAGTGCAATCTTATTTTCTCTTTTTTTCTTACATTTTTTCTTTTTCTTTACTTTCCCTTTTTTTTCTTATCTTCCGTATTGATTTCTCAGTTTTTCGTTCAGTTTCGATTCTTTCTTTCTTTCTTTCTTTCTTTCTTTGCGCATTTTCTTTCAAATCTTTGTTTATCATTTCCAAATCACTCTCTTTCCTCTTACTCACTTGATATAACAGCCAACTGATGAAATTTGCATTTTCTGAAACCTCCTGAAGAAGGACTAAATAATTGCAAAACTGTTAACTAATGAAACTCTTGAATCATGATGCTGGCTTGGTTTAGTTTGATTTACGGCATATCAACCTCAATGGCTTATTTAATGCCGACAAAATTTTCATCGTTGGTAATGTTTTTTCCTTCAAAAATCTATTTCTGGCAATATTTTTTCCCTCAAAAATCTATTTCTGACAATATTTTTTCCTTCAAAAATCTATTTCTAGTAATATTTTTCCCTCAAAAATCTATTTCTGGTAAGATTTTTTCCCTCAAAAATCTATATCCTTCACTGATATTATTATTATCAAAAAATGTATTGTTGGTAATATTTTTTTTATAAATTATTTCTATTATTAAAATCTATTTTTACACTTTCATAGTGTTTTGATCCCACTTTGGAGGTTAACTATTTGCCCATAGCTGGGACCCTAACAGGTGCCACCACCCCAGATCAGGATGGACCTGGGAACATCAGCAATTAAGAGGTGGTTCCACGCTCCTGAAAATCTTCTGATCAGAGGCCTTGCTGTTAGATAAAGTTTATCGTCTTACTTAGGACGCGGATGTAGTTTATCGTCATACCCTGGACGGAATCATGATGCTGAACATAAAATTAATGAGGAAAGTGACAAATTTTATTTGTATTAATCCTGTTGTAATATTATTGCTATAAAATTGTTTAATATTACTATTATAATAAAGCGAAATGAAAGAAAGTAAAATTAGTTTCAGTATCGGAAAGATTTCTAAAACAAAACGAAATGGCAGATATATAATGAAAGGAAACCCTACGAAAAACACCAGTCAGTTTGTCAGTTATGTGCCATGTGGGATACACGCTTAAGCGATCATGTATCTTTCTATACATGACTAACAAGACAGATATTTTCCTGCAGTAGGTTGCCATTTCTTTCTGCGGTAGACTAGTTGCCATCCAAGATTAAAGATCCATGTCTCTCCTGATATTTACCCATAGTTGGGGGGAGAAGAAGTGGATTCATATCTTTCACGTAAGTGAATGTAATGGATTCGACTGGAATTCGAACGCGGCTCTCCGATTCTCAATCCGAGCCGCTATTCATTACTCCACCTTACCTCCTTATCGGTAGTATTTATAAATATTCTGGATCCCTTTTAATTAGTTAAGAGATTTATGAAAACAATAAGCAAAAACTAAAAATTCTTGAAGCTATATACATAAAACAGTTGAAACCCAACCTAAACAAAATAAACTATGAAATCTCTACAAATATCCTTAAATGACTATAATTGGTAACAGAAGCCATTGGTTTATACCAGCGGCATCCCATACTTAATACTTCTCGAATTCACTCACGCGTGGTCATGTGTGACGTCATGAGCTGCGGTGCGATTTTCGCTTCCAGCGTCTTATATGCACGTGTTTATCGTTGCTTGGAAATCATCCATGTAAACAGAAACAAACTATCATCACATTCTTGTCTGTGTATTGCTTAATATATTGTACAGTAATTGTCATCTTTGATAATGGCTTATGTAAGCCGAAAGCTTAGATAGGATTAAAAAATATGGATAAAAAAATATTGTGATTTTCTTTCTGTTGAAACTTGACTAATGCATGGAATAATAATGCAACACAAAATGTAGTTAGAACAAAATGTATTGAAAGAAGAAAGTGTACACAATATTTACATATAGTCTTTTGTATATTCCTGGTAAGACCGTTCCTGGAGAATGTGTTGACTGAGTCGCAGTCGGGCAGAGTCTCTGGATTGAATCTCTTGATTCCTCCACCTCTCTTCCCGGTACCAACCATATTTATATGGTCGGTACTCCACTATGCAAATTAGGTGGATCCTACCACAACACTTTCTTCGTTTAATGATAATGTTATTAAACTTATCAGACGTTATGAAAAGAATTTACGTAAAATAAATAGACATCACTTGTCTATATTATTTAATGAAACATGTATGAATGAAAAATGCTGCCTAAATACACACACGGTATATATATATATATATATATATATATATATATAGTTTATGCAAAACTAGGTAATCCGCATGGGTAGACCCAAGGAGGATGATATCCAGAGAGTTCAATGTAAAATTCAGAGCAAATATGTTTGAATAAAAACAGACCAAAAACAGACCACAACCCCTTTAACAGGGTTCTGGATCATCAGACTTTACTTCCAAATGTTGGCATTTCAACCTTTGGAAGTAAAGTCTGATGATCTAGAACCCTGTTAAAGGGTTTATTGAAAAATCTTTTATTACATGGAACCTTAAAGTGGTCTGTTTTATATAAATAATATATATATATATATATATATATATATATATGACAATATGCAACTTAATGGCAGCAAGCATTCATTTTACAGAAATTTTTGTCAAAATAATCTCCTTTCTTGTTAATGCACTTAATTCAATGGCAAATATTAATCACCTAGCTTCAGATTAAGAGACAGTTGGTAATAGTAACTCTGTTGACTCATTGATGTGTAAAATGTATGCATAAACACACATACAACAACAAATAAATGTTGATCAAATTTAACAGTACCGTTATCTAAGGAAGATTAGATATTGTCAATGAAAAAGATAAATCCAGTGTATAAATATGCTCAAACAGTTTTCATCAATGTTAAAGATTATTTGGTTGGATATTAGTCTATATTTACACACACACACACACACACACACACACACACACACACACACACACACACACACACATATATATATATATATATATATATGTGTGTGTGTGTGTGTCATAATGAAGTAATTCATCGAGTCTAGAAGAAACCTCAACAGAATGCAGAAAGCACTTGACGGCCATTTTGTCCTATATTTGCGAATCATCAGCAGTGCGCAACCACTACCGAGAATTGAAACCCGAACAATTACGATAGGAGGCGAACGCCATAGTTCTAGACTCGATGAATTACTTAATTTTGATTATTCAAATCCTCCTAATTATTTCTATCTGTATATCCTTGCTTGAACCGGCTTCTAATGCTCTGGAGTGAGTGGCTTGGGGATAGTAGTCGTCGCAGTCCTATGGGTAAAAGAGAAAGAAGTTCCACCACGGAATTTCTGATCGTTATATCGAGTCTAAATCGTTACTTCTTCGTCACCGAAAACCGTTATATAGCGTTTCCCTCCTATCGAAACTGTCTGGGTTTCAATTCTCGGTAGTAGATGTGCACTGCTGTGATGAGTCCCAAATATAGGACGAAACGGCCGTCCAGTGCTTTCTGTATTCTGTCGAGGTTTCTTCTAGACTCGATGAATTACTTAATTATGATTCAAATCCTCCTAATTCTCTCTCTCTCTCTCTCTCTCTCTCTATATATATATATATATATATATATATATATATATATATATATATATATAAAGTTGCTGTCGGCATAAATGGTGAAGTCCGAAAGAATAGTGACTTCAAGGCCTTCTATGACTGTTTCAGGATCAATACAGGGTGTCCCAAAGGTCACGCGACAAATGGCAGAAAACATGCACTTATGAAATAGAAACCAGGGAAAATTTGCATGACATCATCTTTCATAATTCGACCAGTAAAACTTTATTAATGATATATTGTCACATACAAAAACATGATCCATTTGCTAAATAAATATAAAATTTACAAGGTTATCCATGTTAATACTACTTTTGGAACACCCTGTACATAATATGTTTCAGTATCCGTCGCATAGATTAATATTTGTCTATTTTTGTTAAATAAAGATTGGGTTTAAATAGAAAAACAATAATGACCAATCATTAGTCAGTAATTTAAAAAAAAAATAAAACAATTGTCACTTGAGTATGAGGCTCTTTTGTTCTTTGTGTGATATCATTTTCACGTTTTATTGACAACATTTGAAATTATGTACAAGGTTGTAAAACTTAAAAGCAAAAAGTTGAGAAAAGTGAAACGGCGCGTGCAAAGGAGGGTGTTTTCCCTTGATACAGATATTATTGTACAGGGTGTCCCAAAAGTCACGCGACAATTGGCAGAAAACATACACTTGTGAACTAGGCAAAATTTGCTTGACATCATCTTCAATAATTCAGCCAATAAAATTTCTTAATAATATATAATCATATACAGAAACATGATTCCATTTGGTAAATAAATATAAAATTTGCAAGGTTATCAATAGTAATGCAACTTTTGGAACACCCTGTATATTCAACTTTCATTATAGCTAGCTGCTGCCTTGATAGTGAATAGGAGGTGCTCGGTCGTTTTTCTTTGATAGTAGACTAATCATGATAAGTATTCATTCATGCCTTATAAAATGGTACACGGTCTAATTCTACGGGTGACCAGAAGGAGAAACGGGGTCGAGAGGACACCAGACTTTATCTCCGACGCTATTATAAGCATAACTCTACATGAAGAGCAATACATGGTCGAAATATAGGAGGTACGAGGTTTCCCGCAATAATCCAAACAGTGATTGATCAAGCGAAACATGGAAGAAATAGTCCTTCTCAGACATGGAAAGAAAGATTCTCAACAAGACCACACCAATAACAAATAGGCAGGAGGACCAGAAACTAGGCAAACCATAAAATCACACAATCCGATTTTGACTGCGTTGGAAAAACTGACCTACTGAACATTGCAAGTAACTGCATTTTAACCACACACCAATGCATACATGGATAGGTCAAAATCTGTCTCAGATAAGGAAAGTACATCCTCTGCGTTTTTATATTCTAATGGATCAGCAAATCCAGATGAGAAAACTGGATTACTTAGTAGGAAACAGACATAAATTATGCCAAATAACTGGTGTTGCTGTTCCGGTAAATCCTCTGGGATTTTTAGCTTCAAACAGGTTCCCCAATCGGGTTGAGGTAGCCGTAAGCAAAGGAATGAAAACGTATCAGAGAGGAGGTATCGCTGTTCCGGCAAACCTCAAAGTGGATGTGCAAAACAAAACAACA